AGTGGCGCTGTGGCTCAAGTGGTAGAGCACTACCCTTGAGCTGAAGAGCTGAGAGACAGCGCCCAGGCCCAGAGTTCAGGCCCCACAACCGGACCCAAAAAAAAAAAAAAAAAAGCTCAAGAACAGTGCTGAGTTCAAGCCCCATTTTTTTTCTTTTCGATTCCCCCCCCCCTTTTTTTTATCGTTTCCTTTTATTATTGATCCAAGACTGGGTCTTGAACTTGGTTTCTGACATTTTTGCTCACTGGTCTAGCACTCTACCAACTGAATCACAGTTTAACCAAAGAGTAATTTTTTTTAACAAACTAAATTTAAAAAGAAAAGTACATCGAGCATGACGACACATGCCCATAATTGCAGCTAGTCAGAAAGCAGAGGCAGGAAGAACATGAGACTGAGACCAGCTCGGATAAAGATAGTGAGAGCCTATCACAAAACACAGGGGCCTAGGGACGTGGCTCAAGTGGTAGAGCACTTGCCTAGCATGTGTGAGGTCCTGTTTGCAAACCCTAGTACCACAAAAACAAAGAACATGCATGGATGGAGCCCATGGAGCATCTTGGGAGACAGAGCCCCTGCATGGCCAGAGAGGGCTGAGGGGAAGGAGCAGGGCGCCCACTGTCACCTGGGGAAGTGTGCAGTATCTGAAGAGCTCCGGGTCTTCTTGGAAATCCTGAATCTTCGTGACCACTTTCTCACTTGGAGCAAGTTGCAACTTTGAAATGGACACATCCTTCATTATTACCAATCTGTCCAGCTTCACTTCTTTCCTACAGATTTTTCCAAATTCATCCCTAGAAAGTTAAATTTACCAAAGATGTCATGAGTGAGGGTTGCAAGCTCTCCAATCAGTGCACCACCCTGGGGAAGGTTGTGTGGGTTCTCTGTCCTGGAGCCCTACTTGGAATTCTCCTGGGATGGAGGAGAAATAGCAGGATCAAAAATGCTAGCTGGAAGCCAGGAACTGGTGGCTCACACCTCGGTCATCTTAGCTGAGATCTGGGGAGTGTGCCTCCAAGCCAGCATGTGGAGGAAGTCTGTGACTGTAATTGGAGAATTAACCACCAAAAAGCTGGACCTGGAGCTCTGGCTGAAATGGTACAGTGCTAACCTTGAACAAAGAAGCTCAGGGAGAGTCCAAGGCTCATGCCTATACTTCTAACTACTCAGGACACTGAGATCTGAGGACTCCAGTTCAAAGCCAGCCCAGACAAGAAAGTCCACAAGACTCTTATCTCCAAAAGACTACAAAAAAAGCTGGAAATGTAGCTGAGGCTGTAGTGATAGAGCACTAACCTTGAACAAAACAAACTCAGGGACTCAGCTCAGGCCCTAAGTTTAAGCCCTGGAATTGGAAAGGGGGAAAAAAAGGAAGAAATGAGGAAAGAAAGAAAAAAATAAAAAAAAGAAAAGAACAAAAACAAAAAACTAATCTGAACCTGCAGAGAACAATTTGCATTGCATACACAAGTGTAATCCACATGGTTGTCAAAGTACTACTGTACCTGAAGCGCTGGATATCCTCATCAGATACCAGATTTTTAATAACAAGATAACCATTTTCTTCATAAAATTGTCTCTGCTCCAGGCTGAGGATGCTGTTATCCAAAGTAAACCTAAATGAGAAGAAAGTCCCACCAAATAAACTCAAATTGCAAAGTACAAGTTAACAAGATGTACCACAAATTTGACACATGCTCTGGGTTTTGTTTTTTTTTGGGGTAGAGGCAATCATGGGGCTTGAACACAGGGCTTGGGTGCTGTCCTCGAGCTTTTTTCTCCAAGGCTAGCACTCTATCACTTGAGTCACAGCTCCACTTCAGGCTTTGCAGGGGGGTAATTAATTGGAGATAGTACTCTTTACTCTCCTGCCCTGGCTGGTTTTGAAACTCCATCCTCTGATTTCAGCTTCTTGTGTAGCTAGAATTGCAGGGGTGAGGCACCGCACCCAGCCCCTGTTTGCTTTTGAATCAAGCATTTCAATTATTACGGCTTTAAGAAAATAATCTGGAAAAGTTTATAAAATACTAAGTTCAGCTGGGTGCAGGTGGTTCACGCCTGTAATCCTACCTACTCAAGAGGCTGAGATCTGAGGATCAGGGGCAGGAAAGTCCAAGATACCCTTATCTCTGATAAACCACTAGAAAAATGGAAGTAGTGCGTGCTATAGCTTAAGCGGTAGAGCGCTCTACTTGAGCTGAAGAGCTGAGGGACAGCACCCAAGCCCAGAGTTCAAGCCCCACAACCGAACAAATGAAAATTTTATTTAAGTTCAAAAAGCCTTTGACTAGGACTGGGAAGGTGGATCAGTGGTAGAGTGCTTGCCTTATATGCATGAGGCCCTGAGTTGGATTCTTCAGCACCACAGAAGCAGATAAAGCAGAAAGTGGTGCAGTGGCTCAAGAGGTAGAGTGCTAGCCTTGAGCTGAATAGCTGAGGGAGAGTGCCCAGGCCCAAAGTTCTGGTCACACAACCAACAACAACAAAAAAAAAAAGCAAGAAAGAAAGGAAGAAAGAAAGAAAAGAAAGAAAGAAAGAAAAGAAAAGAAAAAGAAAAAGGCAAAAAGTTGACTATGATCATCAAAAAAATGTGCAGTAATGGAAGACATTTTAATTAAAGACATGATAACCACTCTGTGATTATGATGCAGGCATTGAAAAGGTCAGATGGGGCACTGGTAATATAATGTAATACATAAATATAAGCTAATTTAAATGGGATATATCATATGAATTTTTTTCACCAGTCATGGGGCTTGAACTCAAGGCCTGGGAGCTGTCCCTTAGTTCTTCAGCTCAAGGCTAGCACTACCACATGAGCCACAGCAACACTTCCAGCTTTTTGTCTTTATGTGGTGCTGAGGAATCAAACCCTGGGCCTCATGCATGCAAGGAAAACACTCTACCGCTGAGCCACCTTCCCAGCCCCTCATGTGAATTTTTAAAGGTGAGATTATGTATTTTCTGCTTGTTTCTGAATTTTAGAATACAAATAGAAAAATTCAAGTTAAGGCCTTCCAAACTTCATACCACTGCCCTAATTAGTGCAAGACCCAAGACAGAGGACTTGAATGATGAAAGCTAAGGGCTGACATGTTCTATTGAGTCTGACAAGCTGATCTCCCCTGGAAACACCAACACCCACAGTGTGGCCACAAACAAAGGTGAGATCTACTTACTGGAATTGTTGAGGATGGAAACTGGTGGGAGAAACAGTCCCAGAAGTGGGGTGTGCTACCTAGGATGGAGGTTAAGGCACACAATGCAAAAGGAGGAGCCAACCTTTTTTAGAAACTACTGGGTGCTTGCTTTGCAGAAAATGACACTTGAGACTCACCCTGACCTACCAGGTAGCCTCAAGCCCTGTTGCTTCTGCCCTTCAGTTCATCACCCACAGCACAAGGAACCTAAGGAAGACTGATGGAGCTCAGAGCTGGAAACCGGGGCTTTGACCACCCAGAAACAAATCTGTCTGGTTCCATTTTCCTGCACTGGGGTGCTGACTGGACACAAACCCCAAAGCTTATCTCCACAAGCAGGGAGAGAAAACAGGCCTACTCAATGTGACTCCAGGTAGAACGTTTGTCTAGGGGTATGGGCCCTGAAATCTCTCTTACTCCCCTCCAAGCCAACAATGACCCCCAGAACAGTATACAGAAGCCACACAGTGTACTGGTACTTAATTTTTTTCTAAGTCCAGAAAAGACTAGAAATACTTTTTACATAGGAACTGCAAATTTTTGATATAGCATTTTGCTGTTTTTCTTTACTGATTCTTGTTAAAAGAGTTACTTTTACATGTTAATTATCAACAACTGGTTGTCATTTGTTTGTTTGATGGTACTAGGGCTTGAATTTAGTTCTGAACTAAGCCACCAGCCCATCTTTTTGCTGGTTGTTTTGGAGATGGAGTCTTAAGGAATTTTCTGTCCAGATGGGCCTTGAACTATACAAACCTTCCATTCTCAGTCCCCTAATATAGGGTAGCCAAGGCACCCTGCTATTTATTATTTTTTAAGTGATGTCTTTGTAGAATTGGGTAGCAATACTGTACTCCAGCAGGAAAACCAGTGACAAGTCAGAATAGAATCGCTCTCTGTCTCTCAGAGGTAGGCTGGTGAAAGTCTTTGCTCAATTACCCTCAGCAATGTCAGTTCAAGAACATGCAGATTATAGCCTTCAAGAAGGCATATTCTTGTCCCCTCTCCACTATTCCTGCAGCATGTTTGTTCGCTGTTTTCAGAGAGATTGCGGATGATGTGGAAATATTTATAAAATAAGTTGAATATGGATGAAAAAACATATTAAAAAGTATAGTCCTAATTATGTAACATATACATAGGAAAGAACTATGCCAGAAAGTTTACAAATGGTGAGCGTGTGTGTGTGTGTGTGTGTGTGTGCGCGAGCGCGCGTGCGTGTGTAGTGGGAGTTGAACTCAGGGCCTCAGGGCCTTCTACTCTTGGTTCTGTTGCTCATGGCTAGTGTTCTACCACTTGAAAAACACCTCCATTTCTAGCTTTTTGCTGGTTTCCTGGAGATAAGAGTGTCTCCAATTTGTCTGTCCAGGCTGTCTTCCATCCTGCATCCTCACACCCCTCCTCAGATGTAGCTCCTAGTAGCTAGGATGATAGGCATGAGCTACCAGTGCCTGGGCAAATGATGATTTGGGGGTTCCATTTCTTTATTTTCTTCTGATTTACTTATCTGCATTTTAAAAACATATTTTGTATATCAAAAGCATTATTATTCCAGGTGTCAGTGATCCACACTTTTAATCCTGAGCTTAATCTCCAGGACCACCAACACAAACAAAAATGTAGAGCAAAAGACTAGTGAGAGCACTGGCAGCTCAGGTCTATATAAGAGGCTGAGAGCTGAGGATTGGGATTGGAAGGCAGCCAGAGCAGGAAAGTTAAGGAGACTCTTACCTCCAATAAACTAGTCCAAAAGAGCTGCAAATGGCACTGTGGGTCAAGTGGTAGAGTGCTCACCTTGAACCAAAGAAGCTAGGAGCATTTTCTAGGCCCAGGAACAACAACAACAACAAAAAACAAGTAGTGAGAGACATGACCAAGAAACATGATTCTAGTCCTAAGCAGAACTGCCCAGTGTGTTGAATGAGCCTAGCACCGAGGTGTGTGGCAATGCAGGTGACACGGCCTGGTCTGGTCCACGGCCATTTCCACAGCTGCTGCTTTGTTTGAAGGCCCCTGGACAATCTGTGCCCTCCTCGGGTTGAAGTCTCTTCCCTGTGCCCTGCGATGAGGTTATCCGCGGAGTGTCATGATCTGTCCAAGCTGCTGGTGCTGTGGCCTGGCAGCTGTGGGCCCCGCGGCCCCCCAGAGCTCCCCGGAAGTGGGCAGCGGAGGGGCGCAGAGGGGGTCCCCACTGGGGTGGGGGTCGGCCCATGGCGGCGCCAGAGGCTCAGCTCAGCCCCTCGAGGACGGACGACGCCTCCTGCCAGCGCCCGGGATCTCCAAGGACGAAAGGCATCCTGAATGATCCAGAACCGGGCACCCGCCGCAGCCCCTCCAACCCACCGAAGCCCCCTCCCCAGGCCCGACAGCCTCACGCCCCAGGACAAGGACGTGGGGCTGCCGCCCGGGCGGACATCGGGGAAGGATCCAGACGTCAGGCCCCGGGACACCACCCGGGACGAGGCGGGCAGCTCGACCAGAGCCCCGCGCAGGGTGAAGGATACAACGTCCCGGGGCTCAAGGCGGCCGAGGTGGCCCAGGACGGTCCGCAGGCGGGCGGCGGCGCGCGCGTCCATGGCGGCGGCGTGCACTCTGCACCTCCCGCCCCGCCAAGGCCCCACTTAACCCGGCCCCGGCCCCGCCCCGGAGGCGGAGGGCGGCCCGGCCCAGTGCGTGCCTGTGTGCGGGTGCGCGTGCTGCTGCCTGCCGCCCATGCCTGGTTCTGGAGCTGGAATCCAGAGCTCCCCGCTCTTCCCCAGCCACTTTGCTCCAGGCTGCTGCTCTACACTTGAAGCGCGGCTTCCCCTGCAGCTTCTGGCTGGTCTCATAAACTTTCCTTTGCAAATAAGGGAAACCATGGGACCTATGTTTCTTTGGGCCTGGCTTACTTCACTTAATATAATTTTTTCCAAGCCTTTCCATTTCCTAAC